GTATCAATTCTCCACTCCATTGTCACAGAGGTAAATTTTAGGTACAGTCAACTTTGCTGTTGGTCGGAAATGCCATAAATAATTAGTTATTATACTCAAGTTCTTTTGTTATTTTATTTTGTAATTCTTTTCGACTTCGTTCGGTCATATTATTGATTTAGACTTATTAATCTATGTAAACATGTTTTATTAGTAGCAAGGAGTTGTAATAAGTGAATAAAAGTACAAATAAATATAAACTTCGTTTCGACAATATTGTCTTTTATTTCGTATACAATTAAAAAATTTGCAAAGGGCCTGGTAACAAGTCAAAATATAGGCTATCTCTTTTACTTTTTTTTGCGTATGAAGGGTTGCCGAGAGGAAAAAAATTTCTGCAGATTTGAACAGCATCTAGCATTAAAACAGAAGTATACTTGTTTTTTGATGGGAGAAAATCGTCAGCATGAACCGAGATTTTTCCCGCCAAAAGACTTAGTATATTTTTTGATCGATCAAAACTAGACAATTCAAAGGCGCAGACTTTTTTTCCAGGAACAATTTTCCCGCCAAAAGACTTAGAATATTTGCAAACATTTTTAACTTCTCAACTATTTTACCAAAGGGAAGAATAGGTTGCCCTTTTAAAAGCGCAGAATTTACTGGCAAACATCGCTTGTCTGTTCGTAATCTCTTTACTAATCAGGTAAAACGTGACTTTTGACAAGCTTTATTTCAGTCAACAGAATTCTTGAGTCCTCCAGCACCCTCTTTTGTTGAATCTTCTTGCTTCATACGATCTTGAAATCTTTCAAATCTAAAGATGTTAAAAAAATAATTTAGTAACAGTACCCTCAGTATATTCTGAACAAAACTAATCTCTATGACATCTATTAAAGGGATTTTCTCCTTGCGTTGTTCCCCCGGCTGTATGAGCCATAACGACTATGCTAGATTGATTTTCAACTTTCACGTTGCGACGACGACTAAAACTTAAATTTAAGGAATCTAACACATTTTAGGGAGTAAATCCAGGGTATACAATTGGTAACAATTTCAAAGGTATTTTTCCCTGGCCTTTAAAATGGGTAGGACCGAAAGAATACAAATCATTTGCCGTTAAAGAAAAATTCTCATTCTTCAAATAATTACTAAGTATTGTAAGAAATATACAACTTTTTTTAGACACATGTTTTGACATGCTTATGCCATCTTCAATCAATGAGTAGATAAATAAAATATTTACAGTATGATGTAATACAAAAGCGGGTACTAATTACAGCGTGACAACAAACATGAAATTAAAGGTGTGAACTAAAATGCTAGACTAAATGTTACCCGCTTTTGTATTACATAATACTTTAAATATTTTACTCATCTACTTGTCTGTTATATAATTACTCACGTTCAGTTACTCAATGATTGAAGATGGCATACGCATGCCGAAACGTGTCTCTAAAAACAGTTATATATTTCTTACAATATTTATCCTACTTGCTACTACTACGACCTTATGAAATTACTAAGTATTTCGTATGGTTTGAATTGAACAATGGGTTAAACTTTTTAGCAGTAAAATGATTGGAACAAAACTAAACGTCTCTGTTTGCCTTCTACACACATGTAGATGACATAAATTGAGTCAGATGACTTTTTCATTCTCACGATCTGAATATCCACACCGACTGTGACACATTTTTATGGATTTTTGCGCAAAATCGAACCATATCCGGTGGTTGATATTCTTGTTTTCTCATTACTATACACCGAATGCAAATTGCGTCCAATTTGAGTTGCCATTGTTCTGGACTCACTAGCCTCTCACACATGTAATAATCCTTTTGTGTTTCGACGCGAAGACGAGGCTAGTCAGTCCAGAACAATGGCAATTCAAACTGGACGCCATATTTGCATTCGGTGCATTACGCTTGCAGATAATTGATATTATAAGAAAAAATTCCTAGTTGGTCAATCTTAGAAGTGGACAACTGTGGATGGGCTAAACACGAGGTTCACGGTGAAAAACAAAATTAACTGATTCAATTCACTTTTTCTATCATTCGTAGATAAAACATAGCGGTAGGAGAAAGAATACTTCCCCTCCCTCTCTCCCGTTGCCCATTTTTCCACTTAACACTTACTCCCTTGGCAAATATTTCCTCGCCCCAATCCTCCACTGTTACCAAATCTAAGATGGCGGCCTAATACGAAAATGTGCACTCGTGCGCCCAAAATACGCCGGCACTGCAAGCTAACTTTCACTTGTTCCCGCACCCGATGTGCTTCCAACAGAGTCAGAGGAGTAGCAGACATCCTTTTTAGAATGGCGAGTCGGCAAACAGCCACAATAGCCACAAGTTGCTCCATCTGACCTCATGAAATCCTCGCATTCTCCACAAGCGCATTTCCCTCTTTCTATTCCTCGCACATCCTTGCCCATTTTCAAGTTTTGACCGTGCAACGCCACGCAATTAACTGCTTTGTGCGCAGACACGGTTATGTGAGCAACACTTCCGGTCAGTTATTTTCACTTCCCGTTATTTTTGTCTTGGAGGAGGTGGGGGGAGGGTCAGATCCTTTTGTTTAGGCATTTATCCAATCTGCAAAGTGGGAGGGCCACGACTTTTTTGGCAAAAAAATGTCTAAAATACCCCGGCCCACCCCCCACCCCCCAATAAAAAACGTACCTTCCCTAGTTACACGACGCGATCTTATCAATATATTTAAAAAATCTGTACATGTTTCTTCAACTCATTTGGCGCATTCTTAATTCAAGGTGGCTTGTAAAAGTTTATCACCTTTTTATCTTTAAAATTGTGGACCAAGTCTACGGAAAAAATTGGCAGTGATAAAGTGAGACCATGATGTGTTTAGGACTGACCTTGTTCAGTGTTATATTAACAATTGGGTAATAGCGTTAACCCGGCCGAATCGAAGAGAACGTTGAATATGGACATTTAGGATAATAAGACGGATACACTCGCGGTAAAAAAAAAAGTCGTTGCAAAGAAAGCGTCAAACGCCAAACGACTCCTAATTTGTTCTCGACCTTTTGGGAGGAATAACGTTTAAAAATGATCGATTAAAGTTTCACTTTTTGATACAAAATTTGTTGCAAACAAGCGATCATAAAAATTACTGCATGCAAAAAATGTAAATATGATTCTCATTCATTGTTACCTTAAATGTAAAGTTTCTTTTTATTTGTTTTTTTGTTCACAAGCATACAAAAGTATATCAGGGAGTGATTTAAATCAACCAGTAGTTCAAAACCTCGCGTTACCATGGAAATTACTTTTTGGTGTCTATATCGTATGACGCTGTACACTGACAAGTGTTTCACAAGTCTTCAAAAATGTATTTTTTTTTAATGGAATCACCCGCTATGAAGCAATAGAATATCATAGGCGAGAAGGTGTAAACTACAGCTGGCCACCTGTATGCCTACAATCGTTGTTCGAAACATAATTGAGCAAATCCTCAATGTCTTTTTTCTTCATGAGAAAATTTTACTCTTCTTTCATTTTTCCTTCTCACTGATCGATCTCCAGATTCGGAGAGAATTCGGCAAGATTTTCGCGCAGCCCCATACTTCATTATACATACAGTACAAGATAAAAAGGGCAATGGCATAATGATGGTTTACCTTTGGGGTACTACTTTTTTGTTTGAGAATACTTTAGTATGGGATTTATACGGAAATCTTACCAAGAATTCATTTAAAATTGAGAGTGAAAACTTAAATTCGAAGCGACAAAAATTAAGAAAGAAAGAGTGCGAACCTTCTCTCGAAAAGCTTGGAAAAGGAAATATAACAAACTGACCTGTATTAACTGTATCACTTTCCATGGACTTCATCTTGTTTCTGATCCATTGCCATCCTTCTTGTTGTACGATTTCGATGACGATGAACAACCAGTGAAAATCACATCACTGGATTTAGAGTTTCACCACTCCGCAATGTTTCATATGGCGGCAGGCTGCCTCTGTTAAAAAAATAAAAAATTATGAGAATTTGTTTGGGGGAGGAAGTCTATCTTTCGATGGAATATCCACCCCTTAAATATTTTAATTTTCCTTTAAAGACATTACAGATGGATGTATTGGAATAGCCTGGGTAATGGTCAATTTGGGTAAGCTTTTCACCAATGGTACGAAACTGTTTTGTTTGTAGTATTAAACACGAAGGCGCGCTATAAAAGGAGCCTTAGGTCCCACTGGACCATTTGTCAATCAACCGTCGTGTGATGTAGAACTCTTAAGAGTCAAGTCAGCTTGAGCTACAGCTACCCCAAAGCAGTGAACAGCGGGCGCATTCCTCGAAATTGTTTTATGTCTTCATCACAATACAAGAATTTTTGAGATTTGTTTTTCCTTTCTCCAATGGAAACTGTCTTTACTTGTGGCGGTAAATTTGAGATCGAAGTAGGCGGTTCGCACGTTACCTCATGCCACCATGCTGGTGGAAGTAAACAATAGATATCTCATTAGCTCCTTTTGTTCATCTACCAGCATTTAAATTTGACCCGCACACGTCAACGGTGAGCGACAAATGAGCCTAGGTCTTCCCAGGGAAGACTTGCTTATATAGCGCGCCTTCGTGTTTAAATGATCACTAAACTTCGAAATATTTAATATTAAATTTAATATTAATATTAAATTTAATATTAAATATCAAGTACTCCTCCGGAAATATTGCCTACTTTTCCTCACATCCTAAATATCACGGCGTTTTGGTCATTTTTGCCTCCGTTGAGAAGTTTATTGATCAACATCAATGAAATTTCCAAGATATGTTCAAACAACCATTAGGCAATAGGATTAAAACAAGATTAACAATAGGTATATTCTTTCAGGATTATGCTGGTGCATACAAGTAATTCAGTTATGAAAGCTCTAACACTACCGTGTGTCGCTACTTCAATGTTGTAGTAGCAGATGGAGAGGAGAGCTGAATCTCTCTAAAATTATACAACATAATTTTAAGTAACTTACAATGAACATCAGAAGAAGGTAAATAACTTACGTGAACTGAAAGAAGACTAAACTTGTGACTTCCCATGATTTGAATCTGTTGACTTTCCATCACTGGCTATAACCTGCTTGCGAGGATCGTTACACACCAAAGATCGACAATCAAGACACCAAATACTTTTGATTTCTACCGTCAGATATTCCAACTGTCTAGGACAAGTTAGACGAAGAGATTTCCCACCAAATCCTGCAATTTGAGGCTTTAAGCCAGGCAGGAAAGCGACGTTCTGACTTCCACCAAACCGATTAACTATGCTTCCACGTGTAAAGATTCTGACACTAGCAGGTTGAATACTTAATGTTGCAAGTATATTTGCAATTCAATTCAAACTTTCCGTGTGCCTCACAATCAGTATTCAAAATGACACCGTGAGGAGTGGGGTGGAATGTTTGATTTCTGGTTGGGATATTTTAATGCCAGTGACCTAAAATACTTGTACAGGAAGATATTTTCCAAGTATTTTACACTAATTTTACAGATTCCGAAAGAGCACGAGAAACACCTGACAAATAAATAGGACAGCGCACGAGGAACTACTCAGAACTAATAGAACACAAAGCAAACTTTGCACGAGATACCAAGGTGACAAATGGAGCACAAATTTATCACCGCGCGAAAAACTACACGTAACAAACAGCATACAGAACAAAACAAAAAATTACTCGTAACAAATAAAAGACATTGCGCGAGATACGAACGCAACAAATAGAGCACAGAAGTAAAACGTACGAGAAATCATAACATTTAACTAACAGAACACAGAACAAACAGAACGCAAGGCACTAAAGACAACAAATAGAACTCAGAGCAAACAGTGCGCGAGATACATGTAGCTAACAGAGCACAAAACAAACAAAGCGCGAGATACTACACGTAACAAGTAGAACATAGCACAGTGTGCGTAAAACTACACGTAACAAATTGAGTACAGAACTCGAAGCGCACGTGAAACCACACGTAACCAACAAAACACAAACAGCGCACAAGATACGTGAGATATTACGTTACAAACAGAACAGAGGACAAACAGTGCCCGAGATATTACATGTAAAAAACAGAACAGAGAACAAACAGCGCGCGAGATACGAAACGCAACAAGCAGAACGCAAAACAGTGCGCGAGATACTACACGCAAGAAACAGAACGAGAACATACAGTGCGAGAGATACTACACGCAATAAACAGAATTTGTTGTTTGGCGCGTGTAATATATCGAGTACTCTCTGTTCTGTTTGTTACGTGTAATATCTTGCGCACTGTTTGTTCTCTGTTTTATTTGTTACGTGTAATATCTTGCGCAATGTTTGTTCTGTGTTTTGTTTGTTGCGTGTAATATCACACATAACAAACAGAACGGAGAAAAAACAGTCCAGGAAAAAGAAGGAAAACTCAATGTCATGCATTGACATGTACCTAAATTCATGGATAGACATTGCAAGACACTGGATCGCGCATCGTATTGTTCACATTCATGCATTCATGCTTATCTCGCTTGCGAGCAAGATTAAAGCGCGGGGAAACGCAATAGGGGTACGCAATTAACAAGGATGGTCTGAAACTGAGTGACCCCAAAGTTCAAGAAGAATTGACATAACGTTTGTTATATTGTGCCTGTTGTTTAAAGTGTTGACAAACAGTCAATGGAAACATAAGATTCCAGAGGAAAACAATGCAGGTAATATTTCAGCTGCATTTTAGCTTAGGATTAATTTCACGAAAGACGAACTATCATATTTAAAATCCAACTAAAAGTGATACCACGCTCGCGATATCTCTTAGAGTTTACATTTGCACTGCTGACATCAAAACTCAAGTAGGTTTATTTGTCTTGAAGTATTTCAATCATACATCACTGAGTCCCATTCTCCGAATCTTGCAAAAGCGCCTCTTCAAAGTTTGGAAAGTTCTCTTGTACCAAACGGTTGAAGATGTTGCTCAAATCTTCACCTGAATCATACACGTACGTTCCCGGCTACGGAAGGAAAAGAAAAGACTGTGAAATCTTTCACAGGGGTTCCATGCACGGGTTTCAATAAAAGTGGGTCACCTGCGGTCTACCACGGCTTGAAAGACCTCACCGCCGACAGTCTGTTGAGCCTGCAAGCTGGCTCGTCTTTTGGTTTCGCCTTACAGCCCGGCCGCCTATTACACCATCAGCAGCCGCTTATGGAAATTAAAAAATGGTTAACACCGCAGCGTACACTATTGAGTTATGGATGCATGCGCGAAAGAAGCGTATAAGTCGCTCGAGGCGATGGCCGAGAGCGACTCTAGCTTCTTAAGTGCTTCGCAAACCTTCCGTTTGCATCCATAACTCCATAGTGTACGCTGTGGTGTTAAACATTTGTTTTAAAACAAAAAGGCAATTTCTTGCGCAATATTTGCTTACTTGGAAACATTTGCCCCTGTCAGCAGCGTACACCCTTGGGCAGATACAAGACTCTGAATCGACCAATCAGAGCGCGCGCTTTACGTAATTTATATCTAACATTTATTGAAACACCTGTTTCGTGCAAATTCTCCTTTTGCTCAGCAAAAATATGATTAAATTTTCAAGTACCATTTTGTGGTGACTATTATTTTTCTTCAAAAAAAGGAAAGAAAAACTGCTGCCATTCAACAAATGGTTTGAGCCAAGATTTAATAGTTAATAGTGAAGCTTTTTACGTCTGACTAAGGGAAGCTCTGCAAAGGACTGCTATTGGTACCTATTGGTGACAGCAAGTGACGTTTAGTCGACCTGAGCGACAAAAAAATTTCATTTAAAATAGAAAGATTTAGCACTGTGTTTACGTGAAACCTGAACGGCAAGAGTGACCACGTAACCTTGTTTTTCCCGCCTTTTTTACGTGAAAGTAACCGGTCTCGCGTTTGCCGTGTACATAAGATTTTCTTTACTTTTTCTCTCTAAGATAAGAAGTTAATTGCCGGAAAAAGGGCACCAAAACTATTTCTTGTAATTCATACAAGGGCACCTTCAAATCCACCCTGACGTGAGCTCACACGAAGCTAAAGTAGCAAGGTTCAAGCTATTATACGCGAAATGTGAAAGGGCAAGTTGACGTTTGCCGTTTCACGTAAACGCGATGCTAAATCTCTCTAATGTCACCCACAATACTCCTTTCAGGACAACCCCTACACAGGTGATCGGACTTATACACTCTTGGTTGTGAAAAATAACGAGACCTAGTTCTCAAAGGGCCGATGATGCGATACAACGAACAAAGCGCTAGCAGATATAACGTACTGTGCTATCCCCGGATAGAGATTTATCAAGTGGATAGCGTAACCCATCGGCCGAACCACCGGAATCAAGGTAAACTTATAACAAATCGTGGGAATAAGGGGGGGAGGGGAGAGGAGGAGTGTAATTTCGTCATTTACAAAAGGGGCTTAATATGGGTGGTCAAATCAAAGAGAACTTACATTATAACTAACAAGTTTGACGTATCCATAAGAGACAATTGGCAATTCTGTACCTTATTGTACGTTTTGCAGTTGTTCAACATCAAACTTATATCCTCTAAGAAGTCCACGACAGATGCATATTGAAGAGAATGCAACTTCTCTCTCACAATAGTCAGGTCCATGGGCTTCTTGATGACTTTATAGTAATCTGGTGACTGAACACAAAATACTTTGAAATAAATATGATTAAAGTAGAGAGAAGAATTGAAGGCTCCTGACAGTTGAAAGATACACTTTTCACCCTTTATAGCCTGACATCAGTATGCATATTCTCCATTCTGTTCACTATACATTTCCTTGGATGCAGACAAGGAGAATTTGTTTAACAATCAAGAGTTTGTTTGGTTGGTGATCATTTCCTTTATTCTCCTGACCTTAATGTTTGATTCAGGGGGTGATACTGTCGGCAGAAATTAGAAGCTAGTCATTCTTAGAGTTGAAGTGTTATGCTCTTGAAAGCGTACCTGTTTTTTATCCACAGGTCGAACAAATGGGATGCTCTCGTCGTGAGCCCATATTTCTCTTAGAATTATGTCGCACTTCTGCAAGGATAGACAAGTTGCTTTAACATGGCAACTTTTAAAACTGAATCGGTAAGGAAACAAACTTTCCAAAATTAGACAACCTGGCCCGAGTTTGAAGATGCAACCAGTGCTTCTGGAATCACTACTTACTGAACATGACAGCAAGAAATGAAAGAAATGAGTGATTCTCGAAAATTTAATTATTTCAGACAGGACCAAACCTCAACCCTTCATCCACTTCAAACACTATGTACTCACTGACTGAGTGGGAGGGCCGGCCAGGAAAATAACGACGGAGCGCAGCGAGGTCCGTGCCTCATGACCGAGAGCCAGATATTTTCACATCCAGCCTGACCAAACTCAGTCAATAAGCATTTTATCACATGACCACTGAGTCAATAAGCATTTTATCACATGACCACTCAGTCAATAAGCATTTTATCACATGACCACTCAGTCAATAAGCATTTTATCACATGACCACAAAACGCGTGGAAATTTTGCTCACTGCTCGTAACTTTTCTTCACCCCTACAGGACTCACAAAAATTATACTGACATGAACTGCCAAATATCAGCATGTTTTACATGTTAAACCACCAAATAAGTATTTTCAGTATCAAATAACATCACCATAAATTCTTTGCTCATTTCTCCTCCCCTCTTTCTCCTTGGTGATGCCACACAAGTCTTCCTACTAGGAGAGGCAACAGGGCTGTGCTGTGGTGATGCCACACAAGTCTTCCTACTTGGAGAGGCAACAGGGCTGTGCTGTGGTGAGGTTTTCAATAAAACCCTCAATTTGTTAAGTTTTGATGGCTTTAAAGGTGAGGGTGACATGATTCTGGCTGGTGTTCCTGCTTCAACTTTGTCTGGGGTTCTAGATATGAGAGACTTTTCCTGCTCTTCAGGGAAATCAACTGTTGCATCAATTTTCCTAGCTTTCTTGAGAGGACTTCCAGACACATCAGAAGAGTGCCTCTTGGCACCTGAAACACCATTCACAAAAGGCAAAAAAAAAAAGTCCATAAATAAATATTTGGCTGAAATTCAACTTAACATTGTGGAAAGCATTTTCAAAAGCTGTTTTGAAATCATTTGTTATGCAAGAAGCCTGATATAATGCTAATGGAAAATACATGAAAATATCATACACTCAAAACTCCTGTAAACCGACCCTACACAGAGATTGGAAAAGTGTCCCAGATCTTGAAACTCATTCTCAAACCAGACGACCAGATATTTTTTTGTTGGTTAGGCTGGAGAACATGGCCTAACTGTATATCAAAACAAGATTCCTTCTTAATAAACGCCAGCTGTTGTTGTGATAGAGAGTTTAAATTTTGATGACTCATTTATCCCTTTGACACCTACGAGTGACTGAATGGCATATCAAGGTCACAAGAATAAAGACAATGAACACAATGAGCTTTTAATGGTACAATGTGTGGGTGGCGGGGGGGCATGATAATGCCTTTACACAGCCACACAACACTACTTTGTACATGTAATAATGGAAAGTAAAGTAACCTTTTAACGGGGTCTTAGAGATTGGTGACTTGTTGCACACCTCTGAGAAGTCAATTGCCTCACCACTTTTCTTGGCTTGATCAGAGGTGGGTTCTTTGCAAAGTCCTCCAGGAGAGTCTGCCATGCACCTCTTTGTATCAACATCTACTACATCACAAAATACAACAATATTTGCAATTTCATTTGAAGATATTTTTTTCTTGTCATCACACCCACTTCCTTTAGCTGATTCACCCACATTTGTTATGAGTTGCTTGTCATTCCTGTATGTAAATTAGAACAACTTAGCTGCTTAAAGAAAATTTCCAATAAAGTGATGAAAGTAATCCAGGATTGCCCTCATTTTTCTGTACTTTGCTATGTGATTGGTCCAGAAATTTGTGCCTCTTTCTCAACCAATCAGATGCAAAACTGAAACCAATCACGACTTGGCTACCTGTGTTTTTCTGTACTTTAGGCAGTCAGCTTGTTTTCAGTGTGAATTTTCATGGGCTCATAAACATTGGGGTATTTTCCTTTCTTCTGGTTGGGCCTCGTGATTACTTTGGTTTTGGCTTTTACATTACTCAATCAAAACATTTAATTTGAAGATAGGTCAAACTTCTTCAAACATATCAAGGTGAAATTTGATCAAAATTGATATTATAACCCAACAAGGGAAAGGAGAAATATTTCATTGCTATCATGCTGTGAGAAAGCCATGCACCAACTGCTAATTCATGAGTATTTTTCAACCAAGTAAAGACCTGGCTTGGAAAAAGGTTCACATGATTTGACACAAATTTTAAAGGGCTTAAAACAAACTCTGATCCACAATTTAACTCCGAAGATCCAAGTAGTAATTCTCCTAACTGACTACCATACATTTCCTTGTATATTACTCATGAGAATTTCGTGTTTTATCAGTTGAAGATAACACCCATAAGCTGATAAGCTGGTCTGTTCTCATACCCTGTTTGCAAGATAACATGTTTGAACTGCAATGCGAAGTTACCAGGTAACTTATCATAACTGTTATGTATTATCTACAATATCTGCAAGTACAGCACAGTGACATGACTAGCCATTGATGAAATTTGTAACTCATACTTACAGCCAAATATCATAATTCCTTTATTACCAATAAGTTCTATAGAATGATATGGACTTTTGACAATACCTGTATGACAATCCTGCATAGAGCTGCAGGTACAACCACTGTCTAAATCATTTGAATTCTCCTGCCTTCCATTTGCTACATTAAGTGTACAAGAAAAAGAAATATTTACACGCATATGTAGGTATAATGGCTGTCTGATAACATAGTTTCCGAGGGCTTAAGATTGCCAGCAAAACAGGCCCCAAAGCAACTGTCATTTAAATAAAGGCTGATAGTTTGTAAAGAAACTGTTTGGCGCTGCGTCGGTGGGGGTAACGAAATAATTTGAATATATCAACAAAGTTGAAATGGTAAATTGGCCACCGTTACGACAAAGGGCTAACGCTCGAAAGGTCAGCTTTATAACAGTAACGGTGGCCAATTTACCATTTCAACTTTGTTGATGTATTCAAATTACAACTGTCATTTAGTTCCGGTCTCTTGTTACCACCCTGGTGACTAAATTTTTGTACGTTTTAAATTAAAACTTAAGCGAGTAAAGTTCAAAAGTACCTTATATTGTCAAGCTTTACTTCTGTCTTGAGGAAGAAAGAGGAAGCTTGCATATTAAACAAAGTCTGTTGACATTGAACATCTCCACCTCTAGACATATTCTGCATAGTAATGTGATTACTGTTCCTCCTTTTTAAGGTGGACGCAGAATCCCAAGTAGTTACTTCACTTATCTTTTACGATTGTAGTAACAGGGCTTGACACTAAATGGTAGCCAACTAGCCACAGGCTAATACAAACTCAGTTTTGGCCAATGGTTTTCGATTTCCACCAGCCAGTTTGGTCAGTAAACAAACTGAAATTGTTGTAACGTCTAAGTTGTCACTAGCCACTTGGCTAGTAAGTTGAAAAGTTGGTGCTGTGCCCTGAGTAAAGGCAAATTTTAGGGACTAACAGGTACCTAGAGATACAGCTTTCAACCTGGTGAACATTTTTTGCCATTTTAAAAGCTAGCTGCCAAAAGGTGTCTAAGGGATTTTTTTAATTGCCTACCCCGTTTCTGCTTACCTTTAGACAGATAAGAATACTCTGCACTCATAACCCCAGCTTGTCTTAGCTGTTTCACTACATCTTGTCCAAAATAAATTGCAATTTTGAGACTTTTCATCTGGCATTCATTGGCAGTCAAAGCACACAGTTCTTTGAGGCGCATGAAGACTGCTGGGAATTCTACCACAAGGCTTCTAGAATCTTTATTCAAGAGCAGCTTTCCTATAAAAAAAATTACAAGAAGGAAATTGTCATGGACTTGTTATCAAAAAGCTTTCCTCTTGTCTCTCACCTGGGTCTAGAGAAGAGTGCCAATGAAAATTTGGCAATTAAACCATTGACATGAGCATCTTACAAGCATCAAAGAGAGGGAAAAGCCATTCACTGCTGACTAACTTAGACATTAAGGAGCTATTTTTTTTTATCAAGATGGTACAATCACTTGATCTTAATCGGCTAAGAATGTGTCACCTACAAAGCCCTGGGTTCAACCATGAAAACCATTTTAAAAAATGAGAATGCAACAATTCTGTGTCAGATAGAGCAACTGAGTTAATGTAGAATTCACTGTACAAGTTTCACATCGGAAATGCCACTCATTTTGGGAAAACAGACATTTTTCATCACACCTTTACAGAATAGAGTAGATTAAAATCATAAGTATCATCTGTTAAAATAGTTTACGCCAGTACATTCTCCCAACAGAAAATTTATCATTATTCCTCCAGAAGGCAACACTGGAGTTGATGGACCCCATAATGCTTTCTGCTCAGAATTTTATGCAGGTCAGGGTACCTTCCTCAGTGAGAGACCTGAGATTTCTTAACATGTTTCTGGCTTGTGCTATTCCTTCACCACTTTCGAGGAACTCATCAAAATACTTTTTGGTATCTTGCACAAGTTGGGCTTCCCTCTCATCAAGTATCTGCCGCAGCTTAGCAAAACAGCACTGAACATGGCTGATTGAGGCATTCAACCCACTGTGGGTTGAAGTTTCACCCTTGGCTAGTTGACATGCTATCCTTCCAATTGATTCTGCAGCATCTTGTAATTTCTTTTCCATGAGAGATCTTAGTGTTGATACAGTTGTTTCTATGTGTTCAATAACATGGTGTTCATGTTCAGGTAAAAGCATACTCTCCTTTTTGCATATGATGCACATTGGTTGAAGCAGGGTCAGGTTAAAATAATCAAGAGTGTGTTTGTGCTCGCTGCAAATAGCTCTAAGTTCAGTTAGTTTCCCATGCTGTGCTTTCCGTTCATTTCCACAGTGTTCTCTGTCATAACAACTACTGCAAAACATGGCACCACATTCTGGACAATAAAACTCTGCAACATTCCCATCACAGTACTCGAGGCAATGTGGTCTCCCGGTGGCTTTTGAAGAGGACTGCATTCTGATAAGCAAAAAGTCGTATATGCAATCATTTTACTTTGTTATTTCTGTCTGCTCTACCAGCTGACCTTGGGCCTAATAGCTGATTATTGTCCCGTAATCATAAAGTTTTCCATGGGCATAAAGATCCAGTTGGATACAACCTTTTAAATCAGATAGCACAGTACTTAACTGGTAGAGTAACGCACTGTTCAAACAGCATTTTGTCCACAAAATGAAATTGTTGTTGTAAAATGGAAGCGGGTTTAAAGCTTGACAAAGGGCAAACGACCTTTCTGGAAAACTATGATGACAATCGGAAGGCCTATCAAGAAAATAAATGTTTTCAAAATTAAACTTCACGATCAAATGATGCCTTATGGAATTCGCTAAGTGCCAGCTGTAAATTGAAGAGTTCGAACTACCTAAACAAATTCATTCCGGGTTTTAAAGCTTGCACATTTACAAGAATAGCTAAACATCGAAGTAACACGAGAAAGCATGGTCGATAAGTCAAGAAATTATAGAACAGACAACGGAAAATCAAGCTGGCGTTACCTGCATATATTTTAAACCCGAATTTACAAAGTTAGAAATGTAGCTGTATCAAGAGATGAAATTATCACCATTTGGTCGTTAACACTACTCTTACAGTAATACCACAGAATGAGTATCATATTAGACTAGCTAAACCGTGTTTACAAATAGTAAAGCGCAATCATAGCCAACACAAATGCCAGCGGAACCACCATTTGCACCTGAGAAAATTACCGCCAAAGCCTATTTCTAACGTCTCTGTTACTAAACCATAAATCACATAAAATTTGTCCCCAGGCATCCACTTACACACACAATAATAACGAAGAACTTACCTCCAATTGCAAATTTTAGGAATCCTTCAAAACAATGCAAGAGTCTCACTGTTTAAACTGGAAGGACGTTGGGGTCACGAAACCTTCAGATCCCTCGACCCAGTCTTCTCGAGCAGGACTAAGATAGGTCCGCGTGGCGTTTTTGCGCAAGCTTCGAAACCAAGTTCACTACTGGACCTTTTTGGAACATAGTTCACCGATGCCAGCTGACAGTCTCTAATTTAGGTCAAAGGGATATGCATAGTGCAAAGCACAGGCACGTGTACATGTGGTTGCAAGAGTAAGTTTGAAAATATTATTTGTTCTTCCTTATTTGATTACAGTCTACTGTGGCTCGTTAGAACTTAACATATAACTCTAATTAATAAATCTAGCTGTTACTCTTTACACCTTTGCCTCTGCATTTGAAGATTAAACTACCAGTTAAAGGTAAAAAAAAAATACAGAAGTTAAAGAAATTTATTTGAACATGATTTCATAATACTTGCTCATTGCCACAGTCTTGAATTCAAGACAAGAAATAGTTTCTGTTTGTTCCAGTAAGTTACAAATTAAATGAAGTAATCACTTAAAAAATGAAAGGTCCTCATAAACTCTACATTAAACTGCTGTTACATCCATTCTACTTATTGTAAAGCTACCAATTTATAGTCTCCACTCATCTTGATAGCATATGTTGTAGTTCAATTTTATCCTTGGTTCAAATTTTATTTTCCTTTGTTTCAAACTCATTATCATACATTAACATGACCGAGAACAAAGGAAAATAAAATTTGAACCAAGTATAAAATTGAACTACAACACATACAACATTTACAAAAAAGTTACAATGCTGTAACAAAATGGAACTGAAGAGGAAGGATTGCATTTCATCTAAAATAAAAGAATAAAGACAGTGCATTGAATTCAGTAAAACTGAACAGTCATGTAGAACATTGTCTTTGGTCCTCATCACACAGCCTCTTATCCCATGACATGAACACTATGGAATTTGCAAGTTGTCACATTCTTCTCAAATGTTAAAGAGATGACCTTGACTGCCAAGTCGTTTGAGGGAAAATGCCTCACACACCATAGTAGGCTACAGCACCCTTCTTGGGGCCAGAGGACTTCATGCATGTCCCTTTCCTTGAATTATTAGCCTTTGACCTTTTTCCTTTTTGTAGGAGCTACTGTTTTGCTTGGCTCAGCAACTTTTCTTTTCTGTCATGAAAAAAGTCAAGAGAGATGAAAAGAAAATATTAAAATTATACACAGGCAATTGTATGCAGGGCTGTGGTCTAGCAGCACCTAGTGGCCCCTGACGCCTTAGTTTTGCTCTTGGCTGACTCAGGAATCTTAGCTTTTTCATAAAAAGCATATGCTGGGCACCCTGGATTTCACAGTTTCAGAGCACTGGGCTCCCTTCAATTTTTCTTAGAGCACAGCCTCGGTATGCTCAAAAGGTTATATCATACAAATGCTCAACTCCTGTTTACGAGTTAAACAACTGCAATTTATAATGAAGTGACAACATTCACACAGATGTAACTATTAGGAATTTGAATTTGTTTATCATACACAACATTTTAAACATAACTATTTAGCAAATAAACCCCTTTGCGTGGATAGTATGTGGGCTGATAATGTCTGCAGCTGAAAGATTGTCCAAAAAATAAATATTTGGCAGAGAAGAGAAGCTTCAAGGGCAAATGTAAAATTTTGATGTCTAACCCAAGGACATTATCAGCCAACATACCAGCAAGCCAGAAGGGGGTTTATTTATTTATAACCCTCCCAATAATTTTTGCAGCACACGTTGACAGCAAATTTTGTTGAATTTTTTGTCCTATCTAATATAAGGCAGCATTTGAGATCACCTTTTTTATCTGCTAGCACTGGACTCCACAAAACAAGTTTGTTTTTCATCCAAGTAAAGTAATAATGATGAAAAGGTGAAACTTTTACCCTGTTTTTTTTTTTTGAATGACTTAGTATCTTTTCGATAGGGGTTATTTCGTGATAACTGTCCAGTGATTTTGCACCACGTGATGATGCAAAATAGCTGATAGAATTCTGTGAAAATAGTTGTATCTCTATATAATTGTAATCATCTCACCTGTGAATTCTTTATCTTCTTTTTGAAAGCCTCCACATCCACTCTGTTGTCATTTTCTGCAATCAGGATTTTATCAATAAATCAGGACATATGGATTTATCAAAAAGGAAATCATTGATTAGCTTAAAAAATTGTGCCACAAAGTTTGGCTGTTTAATTACTTGAAGAGTGACTCACTTTGCGCCAAACTTTTTACTTAACGCTTAAAGTGTTACTTCACCTTTGGGAATTTTACCCAGAGGGACAAAAACATTGGATTTACCTCCATTGTTTTCATTACAGTACTTCATGTATTTCCACTTGAGACTATCATGAGACTTGATAATGACCTGAAGCAACCTCAAAATGTCATCAAAATATTTTTTGAACAGTTTATAAGTTTTCAGAAGTTTCTCTGTATTTCAATAATGTTCTAGCATTGAACTTTGCAATCAAATCGTGATTTAAAAAACAGAAAAACCTTTTTAAGGAAAAATAGACAGACCAATAATACTAGTAGTTACTTTTTTTCTTCAGTGGAAGTCTATTATTAAGACCACTGTCAATGAGTGATGACTAGTTAGGTTGAAAAAGTTACAAAATAAACATACAGCAAGACTATCAAAAGTCACTTTGTTTGGGACAAAAAGAGGGGATATTTTAACTTACGATTTCAAAATGAGAAACTTGTCTTAGCTTGCAGACAGGCTCTCATTATGACTGCCTCAATACAAGCATTTCTTTCCCTAAGAGAAAGTCTGAGTCCTTGAGTATGGCAAGCCAGCAAGACGTTAACCTGCTTGCAAATGTCTCCTTATTTCTTTTGTTCCTTGTCCACATGCAACAGAGGGAATGGGAGATGCCTGCATGCAGGGTAGTGAGAGGTCTGGCTAGGGGGTACGGCACAAATAATGAGATTATTAGACCCCCGGCAGACCTCTCCTTGACTTGTATTTATTTATTTATTTATTTATTTAATCTTTATTTAAACACGATCGATTCATCAGCCTATAAAAATACATATCACATACGCTAAGATATTTAAAATTAAAACTACAAACTATAACACTAAAGCTGTTTTCCGTGAATGCCATGCGTTAGACTCAAAGAATGTCATTGATCTTGCGTTTAAATANCGATTAAATCAAGTGAAATCGGTAAAATAACGACACCAGGAGCAAGCAACACACGTATGGAATAAGGTAAGCCATTTTTATTTGATATTTTCACTTTTAACTATCTCTATGGCTATCTTGTAGAAAATCCCATACAAATCCTTATAAATCGATATGCAAATTGTGTTCCTTGTGTGGTTCTCAAAGAGAGCTTGGGCTGCCTGTGGGCTATTGTGGAGAAGTGAGAGCAAGTGGAGACTCAAATGTAACCATGTGATCCAGAATTGAGAGTAAAAGATTGAAGTTTATGCATATTATTATTATTATTATTATTATTATTATTATTATTAATTAATTAAGATTGAAGAACTGTACATGTAGGAACTATCATTATTCAGATGTACTCTGTACCTTCTTTTCCTGCTGAGCTTTCAGTCTCCTTTCTTTTTCTTGTAGAAAATATTCACCACTGGCTAACTGTTTATCAATCTAAAAGGACAAAACAGATCATCAGAGCAAGTCAATGTGTCAATTAATGATAAACCAACTTAAACCAACTGGAATTATTATTTTGCTTTTCCCATATGCTTGTCTCATCAATTAGTCAAAAGTTACCTCAATGTTCTAAAAAAAAGTGCACTTTCATAAATACTTTCCCTCTAAAAACATCAAAAATAATCTTTGGTATGCTTCTAAGGTAAAGGTAAAATCTACCCTAAAATCAGCCAAGGGTCTGACATGTACAAGCTGCCAAAACTCAGCTCAATCTTTGTTGCATGAAGCAAGGAGATGGAATGCTAGTGGTTCTGTACAGGTCATCTCCCAATATTTTGTCAAACTTCCTTGGTAGTTCACAGGTACCCATCTACATTCTTGGGTCAAGGAGGCAATGTGTGAAAAAAGGTCTTGCCCAAGAACATAGCAAACTGACCTAACCAGTAACCTGTTAGCCTACGGAGCCAGGGCTCGAATTTAATTTTTGGATCACTAACCCTTCGGGTTAGTAGACATCTTTTTTACTAACCAAATTATAAAGTTTGGTATCCAAGCCCACAAGTTACGATATCTCAAATATTGAACATTTTTGTTAATGGCAACTAGGACAACTAAAGAGTTGCTGAAATTGCACGATGACCTTAAAAACGTTGACAATTATGCACTTATTTTATTTCCCTCTCGTTTACCATAATTAAAGAACTCTGCATAATTCAATGCCAAGCTACCAGAACCTCATAAACAATAATTTTGATGCAAATATGGATTTGCAACATGGCAGATCCAATAAAGTTGTGTCCAGATTCCCACATTCGACACAAATTTGCATCCATGGCCTTAGCACTCAAAATGGCTGTAAAGCTCGATTCGATCTCAAAGACGGCAAGAACAAATAGTTTGAGATAGAAAACAAGCTAATGCAAGTAAATAACACATAAACTGTACCTAAAACATTATTTATTGTTTTCCATGTTTCATTCAAATTATTGACAGTTTTGAAATGTGAAAAAATAAAAAGATTAAGAAATAAGACAAAACAAATTGGTTCCTGAGCTAAACTCTGAACTTTATCTCCTTATAATTGATCTGAAAATTTCACTTTGGGTTCATAAAGTTACCAAGACTTTTAGGGAAAGGTACCCATATCCCAAACCCAGAACTTTCAACCCACAGTTCACTGCTAACCCTTAATGCTTTGCCCACAGCGTCTCCCTCATTAACATTCCTAACTAAATCCAAATTCTTCTGTCTTAGAGCAGGCCAAATTAAAGAAGAAAGGGAGGGGTCCCTGATAAGAAAAAGTAATACTCTGTAATACAAAACTTCCTGCTATGCCCCTGAATCTCCATAAAAAGTTTTTTAACCATGATACTTCCCCAGACATGATACAAGGTCATGTATAGGGAAGCAACCTCTTAGTAAGCATGATTTGAAGTAAAATTATTTGTGTTACCTTGCTCTCTGTTTGAGGCGGAGGGAATGGAGTATATTCCTTCTTCTTAAACTTGGCTTTCTTAACCTTCTTTGCAGTGGTCTGTCTAAACTTGGGCAAAAATCTGTCCCAAGATTCATTTTTCAACTCTGGATCTTTGGCTAACTCTCTCTTTATCATTAGTGTCTACGAGGAGAGAAAAGGGCCAGTTTAGGTTTAAAGGGACATCATTGTGACAAACTGTTCATTAAAATGTGACATAGTTTCCTTGAGAGCTTTGAAAGTCCTGTATTCTTAATTCTCAATCCTTAGTCCTGTGAACATGTAGCACCCATCCAGCATTTAAAACATTTCAGACAAAATTAATTTGCACACACCTTGATGTTATAAATCGGATGTATGTTCTTCATTGTGTCTTCCACCACTTTACGAACCTAATGAAAAATAAACATCACCACTTCACAATTACAGTTGTATAAATTTTAAGAAACAGATTGTCCTGTGATTTTATTTTTTTTATCCTAGTTTTTGACAGAAGCATACAACAACAAGAGGTATTGAGACCTCTCTTGGATGGGATTCCAGTCCAGTCCTGCTTATTCAACCCTTTACACCTTAAGATCAGTACATATATTCTCCATACTGTCCTCTCTACATTTCTTAATGCGCTGCCAAGGAGAATTTGTTTAACAATGGAGAACTTTTTTGGTTGGTGATCAATCTTCTATTCTCACAACCTGAACGTGTGATTCAGGGGTGACGTAGTAAGGAGAAATTACATGTTAGGGATTGAAGGGTCAATAAACACCTGCATTCTCTCAATCTGGGGCCCTCATGTAACCATTAGACCACTAGCACCATCTCTTCCAACCTTTAGGGTATAGACAGAAAAGGGATCAAGATTGTCCAGATTGAAATTAAACACCAGAAGTGATTAACATGTAACTTCTCCCTATAATACCCATGCACTATCCAGCAAAAGGTTATGAGAATACTCAACCTTATCAGGTAGAAGTTGTATCTTGATCTAACACTTAATTCTCCTTGTTAATTTACAAAGAAATGTGTGACAGATGGAGGGGAGAAGTAACAAACAGATCTTGGGAGTTACAGGGCGAAACTCAAATTGAATGTAATTCAAGTCTGTACCCTATTAAATTTTTCAAAACAAAAAGGTACTCCATTCTTATACACAAACTCAGAAACTTTTAAACTTCAAAAATGAGACAAAAAAATTAATAATTATTTTAATTCATTATCAACTAGGAAAATTCTTTTACCTGTTTAAGTCCTTTGTATGGACCAAGTGATGCCACAGTATTGCCTTGTACCATGATATAACATTGTGTGAGTAATTCAAGAGCCTTCAGAAGACAAATATTTTATTTTACATGTGAATCCTTTAAAATGAGACTATAAATCAAAATATAATTTATTTGGTAAATAGGTTAACTAATAAAAGAAAATCAAAACAGGCAATCATGGTCATTCAAGAGAAAAAATGAAGGTAAAGATGGAGAAGATTGAAATGAATAATTATTACAAATGGCAAAATTAATGAGGCACTTTTCAAGATACAGTTCCCAGATTGGTTTGTAACAGATAACTGCAGTGTTGTCATTAGGAGCCGGTAGGCGGTGGAAACCCGCTGGCTGTCAGGCCATTTTACGCTGCCTACTTTGTGACCAGAAATTTTGTAATATTGAGATTTGTCTTCCCAAGAAGTCTTTTTTTTGGAAATCTGAGGCTAACTGTGGTGATCATTCTCTTGTATAATTATATCTGATGTTATGGAAGAAAGAAAAACTAAAAACCTGTACACGAACTACTGTCAGTGCAAAAGCTATAAGTGGTGTTGACAGTTTACTTGTCTGAGTAATATAAATGCATGACCGTCACGAAGCATGAAACCATCGCAATTCACATGTGCATTGATGCTTCGAAAATTGAAAATGATGGCCAGCGAAGAAAGCGATCTCTTCACGATTGCTTGTCAAGTCAATCGAAGAAGACAAAATCTAGCGAAAAAGAGAGCCACCAAGATAAGAGGTAGTTTCGATCGCTGTCAAATATTATAATTATGAAGCTCCTGAAGCATTTAATACCACAGATAAACTGGCCTCAATTGTTAAAATACAGTCACTGTGGCAAATTATCGCTGATCCACTACATACTTTCAAAAGAGGTTTCAGAGGGTTGGAGAACGAAGTGTCTATAAAGATCTTTTTCACCTTGCTGAAAGTTGTGTCCATTCCACTCTTAAGATTTCAAAGGCAGGAAGATTTTCCTTTGTCGTAAACATGTACCGTTAAATAATTTATCTTCTCATAGGAAGATGTTCTTTCTAGTTCGGGAAAGACAGACTTAAACTGCTTTTGTAGAATCGCAGAATAGAACACATAATTTACATCATCCGACAGGGACATGACAACAATTTTGAAGGAAAATTTTGTTCTTTTGTTTACGATTTCGACAGACACGCAAAGTTCTCCAAATTTGAAATGTCGTTCCAACCATACACATGGCCATCAAAGTTGGTGCAAGATTGTTTATTTTTTTTAGGATTTTGCAATGTTAGAAATGCTCACCAAATATGGACCTTTTGGAATACTTGTCATTAAACCCCTCAGACAATCCTAATATTAAAAAATAAAGGCGAAGTGTTCCGTGATTTTGCAAACCTTGCGTGAAGCTTTCGTCCAGAGGGTTTTTATAGCGAAAAACAGGAAATTGAATTTAACATCAGTGTCTAAAAATGCTACTCAAACATGCCCCAGAATGCTGGAAAACGCATCTCAGAAAGTTTCAAATTTCAAATCTTTCCAGGAGGACATGCTCCCAGATCCCCCAAGAGGGGTGTGTTGCACAGCCGCCTACTTCATTCAGATCAGACACCTATTACATTTTCTAGTGACAACCCTGTAACTGGCTGAAAAAACCTCTCACTGACCTTTAATGTAGCTCCATTTGGACCTAGCAGCCTTTGTCTTCTCTTCACAAACCTTTCTCGGTTACGAACAAGAGATCCTATCTTAATGATGTCACATGCAACATCATCTTCTAAAACACGCTGAGCCTGAAAAAAAAAAAGATTAAATCTTTATCTCAAAAACTCTAACTTACACAGCAGAGATCCCATTAATGCACAGGTGTGCATCTTATATGCACAAAAAATGAAAATGATGCACAGTTTTTGCCTATGTGCGTCCTCGGGACGCAGGAAAAAAGTTTCAACTAGTTAGTAGGGTCTGGTGGGTCCTACCCAAGAATCACTGTGATCATCATGGCAGGTCCTTTGACCTGCCATTCTGTCATGGTCAAGGGCATGTCTACTCTAAGGGTTTACTGAACATATTCGATATTTGAAAGAGGAAACCTGAAAGTGATACAGATCTGGGGGATGATACCCAAGTGAAAAAATGGTTGGTGTTAAGAAACACGAGCACACTTTAATCCAAAATTACGGCTCCATTAATTGGGTTAACATCTGGTCTTGGCTTTTGCCTCTCTGTTAGAAATTGTAAAATCATAATTATTTTTATTAGTAAAAGGAAGGAGACCCCTAAAAAGCTAAAAGGACCCCCAACTTTTTGGAACTGGTGGTCCCAAGGACCCTTAACTATCAAAACTAGTGGGAACTCTGCACAGATTGGTAAAGGTAAAGAATCCAATCCTACCGATGCATTGGCCAACTGCTGACTGTCAAATGACTGTTAAATGACTGTCAGCTGACTGTCAGTTGACTGTCAGCCAACACGTTGGCCACAGTTTATCCCTCTAGTGTACAAGATGTGTTGGTGGTGTGTTGGTGGTGCATCAGTGGTGTGTCGGCCAATGCATTGACCAATGTGTTGGTTGATCTTACCAACGCATCTGTAGTGTGTTGGTGGTGCATTGGTAGTGTATCAGCTGATGCGTTGGCCAACGCTTTGGAGGATCGGACTCTTTACCTTTACCCACAGGTTGACATTCAGAAGGAGAATTTGTTTAACAATCAATAGCTTCTTTAGTTGGTGATCATTTCAGTTATGTTTAAGACCTTGATGTTTGACTCAGGGGTAATAAAGTAAGGAGAAATTAGTCGCTGGTCACTCTTAGTGGTCAGAGGGTTTAAACCAGTCTAATGTCTCCTGGTTAGCTCAATTGGTTAGAGCGCCAGATTGTGTTGTGTGAGAGGTCGAGGGTTCAAGCCCCGGCCGGACCAATACTCATGGTCTTAAAAATAACTGAGGAGAATTTGCTACCTTTCTATAACATAAATGAAATGGATAGATATTCTAGTC